AGAATAAAAATAAAAACATGACTTTTAAGCCCTGGCCGGTTTGGCTCAGCGGTTAGAGCGTCGGCCTGCGGTCCCGAGAGACCCGGGTTCGGTTCCCGCTAAGGGCACGTACCTCGGTTGCAGTTTGTCCCCGGCCCTGGTTGGTCGTGCGGGTGGCAGCCACTCGATGTGTCCCTTCACATCGATGTTTCTCTCTCTCTCTCTTCCTCTTTCTCTCTCCCTCTCTATCTGAACAAAAAATGTCCTCGGGTGAGGATAAAAAAAAAAACATGACTTTTAAAGTTTTCTTTCCTTGCATTATCTCTGTCCTTCAAGTTTCTTTGTACTTGGTATCTTTTTAAAAAAATTCTAAATGCTTTCTTTGAATGTTTCTTTAAATATTCAAGAACATTAATTCTTGAATGTTCAAGAATGAGGTACTAAAATACCAGCTGAAAACTGAATTCATGAGTGGAGTTAAGGAATTAGTGAGCATTACTGAAGGGTATTTAGATAGACCAAGTCATTACTGCTGGAACACAGGCCTTCTTCTGGGCACAGACGTTTCCAAAATAAAATCCTCCATTCTCCTAGTTTGGGTATATTTTCCTGAGTAGGACAGGGGCCTGGGGGATTAACTACCAAGTATACAGACTTTACTAATTCTTTTCCCTCCTCCCCCAACCCCCACAGTGAGTTTTCAATATAGCACCCCTGCCCCGAGCAGTACCTAGCATCCCCGAGTCTAGACTCTCTGCGTGAATATCTCTGGACTGCCAGGGTGGGGAAAAGAGTAGTTGACTGACCACAAAGTATTGGAGAAGAGATCAAAGAATCTAATAGCTACTTTTAAAAATTGTTTTTAAAATCCTCCTTTTTCAGTACTATCTATCCCCATTCCTTCAGGAATAAGTGATGCCTCCAATTCCTAAACCTATAGCCAAATCAGTTCTTGGCTTGTTCTTACTCTAGGCACCCTTTTTTTCCCTCAGCATTTTTTTGTCTGTTAGGGCCAATATAATTTATTCATCTGCCTCTCAGATTCCAAACTTGTTGATTATCTATTGTCAGCTGAGGTCTCTCTCTTTTTCTCCACATTGTGGTTTCATACCTTCTTTATGACTTTATTGATTTTTTTCAGAAAGGTTTCAGTAGGGAGAAATAAATGTGCATGTTCAATCTTCCACATTAAATATAAAGTCATGAATTAATTTTCATCATATGTCAAAGTTAATAGATTCTAAGATAGAATTAAAACAATTACATGTTAAATAGAATTTTGTGGGCTGCTCAAAACCTAACCATTTACATTTTATTAGAAAAAGCAGTCCTGGTTGCAACTATCAATCAATCAGTAAATTCTTAGCAATACAATCAGTTAGTAAATCAGAGAGTGTATTTTCTATTTTCTTATACTTTTCACACATTAATTTGATAAATCTAGTAACCAAGTACATTTATCACATAAACTATAATTTTAGAAAATACAAGTTATGGTTAAATGGTTTATTTTCTCTAAATAGAGTATAATACTCATTGAATTAGCATTTGAAACTACATTATGTCCCAAGCATAGGATAGGAAGATAAAACGTAATGCTTATTCTCAATGGTTTTAGAGCCAAGAGGAACAAAAACAATTACACTACTGAGTCCTATGACAAAGAGTACCACAGAACTACCAGAATAGAACTCATCTAGAAAGAGAGGAGTGGCCAGGAGAGGCTTTGCAGAGAAGATGGCACCTGAATTAATTAATTAATTAATTAATTAATTAATTAATTTATTTATTTATTTTTATCCTCACCCGAGGATATTTTTCCATTTTTTGTACAGACAGAGTGGGAGGGAGGGAGAGGAAGGGAGAGAGAGAGAAACATCGACGTGAAGGGACACATCGAGTGGCTGCCACCCGCACAACCAACCAGGGCCGGGGACAAACTGCAACCGAAATACGTGCCCTTAGCGGGAACCGAACCCGGGTCTCTCCGTACCGCAGGCCGACGCTCTAACCGCTGAGCCAAACTGGCCAGGGCCTGAATTTATTTTTTAAGAACAGTAGACGTTAACTCAGAAAAGAAGGGAGAGGAAGGAGAAAAAAGCATTTGTTGAGCATCTCCCATGTTCTTTTGCATTATATTCTAGGAAATATTCCTGTACCCTATCTTCTAACTTGTAAAATTGATTTTCAGCTGAATTCACTTAATATTAGGCTCCTTTATTGAGTTTTTATATTTTGTATTGATATTTTTAGTTTCCAGGGACCATAATTTTTTTTATAGTAGCCTATTATATTATGGATTCAACTGCCCCTTGTCTCTAAAGAGATATTTACTTGAAAGTTTTCTGCCATGCCCGGTGTGACTCAGTAGTTGAGCATCAACCCATGCATCAAAAAGTTGCTGGTTCGATTCCTAGTCAGGACACATGCCCAGTTTGTGGGTCAAATCCCCAGTGGGGAGCATGCAGGAGACGGCCAACTGATGTTCTCTCTCATCGATGTTTCTGTCTCTCTCCCTCTCTCTTCTTCTCTCTCTAAAAATGTCAATAAAGAAAAAAACAGGAAAGTTTTCTGCCATTTACTCGGGTGTTAATCCTTCTGTTTGTTGCATTTGTTGCCCTTCTTTCAAGGTACTGATTTTCTTCAGAAGTTTGGCTGTTCCTGGTTGTCTGTCCATAATTCTACTTGAGAATCTCTGTAGGGTATTAGGTATAAATTATATAGCCTATCTCTAGAGATTATAGAAGAGTGATGAGAAATTCTAAGAACTTATATTATAGAAGAGTGATGAGAAATTCTAAGAACTTATATCCCCCTGTATTTTCTGGGTATTGTATGTTACATGGGGGCAATGGCCTAATTGTCTGGCTAGTGTCCACAATGAAAGACTCCGGTATCAGAACTTCCACTCCAAACAGCCATATCGTATTTTTATCCTGGGGTTAATAAACATAATCTATCTTTGCTACCCTTGCAACAATCTGGAGTTACTTCAGACTCTTCTCTGCTTCTCATTCCAGCCCCAACCTTGACCCTTGGGAGCCAACCCCTCAGTTCACTTTGCTTGAAAGTAGTCCCCAGGGTTTTATCCTGGCAGCATGCACTGACAGCTGCCAGTGTTTTATATGTAAGAAGGGAATGAGAGGAGGAGGCCAGGCCATATAATACAGAATGTAGTCCATCACTTTGACACTTCCTTTAAGGTCCCTTCTATTATAGTTTATTTTTTATTTTTTATTGACTAAGCACTTCAAGTACCTCTAGAACTATTCTTACCTCTGCAGTGGTTTTTCTCTGCTCTTGATATATTCATTAATCTGACCTCATTTGCTTTTAAGAATTTCTCAGTATTTCTGGTGTGCTGATGACATCCTTTGTTGTTTTCAAAAATAATTTCAGCCTGGCCGGTATGGGTCAGTGGATTGAGTATTGACCCATGGACTATGAGGTCCCAGTTTGATTACAGGTCAGGGCACATGCCCTGATTGTGGGCTCGATCCCCAGTAGGGGGCGTGCAGAAGGCAGCCAATAGATGTTTTTCTCTCATTGATGTTTTATTTCTCTCTCCCTTTCTCTCCCTCTAAAAATTCAATAAAAACATATTTTAAATAAATAAATAACTTCAATTACACCAATATGTATGTGGTTCACCAGCAGCCCTCCATATCCAACTGCCCATTTGACACTGCTACTTAGTCATGTTAAAGGCACTCTTAATAGATTAAAAATAAAACTTACAATCTTTCCCTCAAACAAGATTTTTTCAGTGAATGGTACCACTTTATATATCCAGTTATCCAAGCCAGAAACAGCTCTCATCTTTTTTTTTTTTTTATCCTCACCGGAGGACATTTTTCCATTTTTTGTTCAGACAGAGTGGGAGGGAAAGAGAGGAAGACAGAGAGAGAGAGAAACATCGATGTGAAAGGGACACATCAAGTGGCTGCCACCCGCATGACCAACCAGGGTCGGGGACAAACTGCAACCGAGGTACGCGCCCTGAGCGGGAACCGAACCTGGGTCTCTGGACCACAGGCTGACGCTCTAACCGCTGAGCCAAACTGGCCAGGGCTCATCTTTTTTTTTTTTATCCTCACTTAAGGACATGTTTGCATTTATCTTCAGATAGAACAGGAGGGAGAGGGAAGGAGAGAGAAACATCAATGTGAAAGAGACATCGAGTGGCTGCTACCGACACAACCCCAACCAGAGCTGGGGACAAACTGCAACTGAGGTACATGCCTTTAGCGGGAATCGAACCTGGGACTCTCGGGTCCGTGGGCCGACGCTCTAACTGCTGAGCCAAACCAGGCAGGGCAGGTGTCATCTTTGATACTTTCACCTCCTTTACTCTTTATTTGCCAAATTCTGTCAATTTCACTTCCTAAATTAGCCATCAGGTATGCCAATCTCTTTCATTTTCAATGTCATCTCTTAGTACAAACTGCTATCACTTCTCCCCTAAACTACTACAATAGCCTCCTAACTGGTCTATTTACATCCATTTATGTGTCTTTCCATACTGCTGCTCCAATGATAAATACCAATAACTTTGACATGGCTTGCAAGGCCTCTGTCTGTCCAACCTTGCCTTATTATCACATTTCCTCCTCTTTCTTTGTCCTGCAGCCACACTGGCTTTCTTTCAGTTCATTGAACACATAATGCTTTGCACATGTTGTCCCCTCTGCCTGGACTGCTCTTTACTCATCTTTTTGCATAGTTAATTTATATTCTTCTTCAGATCTCAATTAAATTGCTATTCCCTCATGGAAGCCCTCCTTAATCTCTTCAACTTAAACTTAATTAGTTACACTAAAGTCAATCTTCCCTTTGTAGCACTTATCACAATTGTAATTTACTGATCTGTTAGAGGATGAGGGCCAGAGCCCAGGCTGAAGGATTCACTTTGGATTAGGAGAAAAACAACTCTCTCACTGAGATGGGAAAATGACAGAGATACAAACGATGCTTATGCTTATAAGAAAGAAACCAAGGGAGTTCATATCTGACAGTCTTACCTGATACTAGTTCATCAGTTGATGAACTACTGTCCACCTGGAGGGCATCAGTCACTGACTCCTATGTGAAATAAGAATTAAAGAACACTAATTAAGAGATTGACTACTTTTATATTATAATATTCTTTCACATTTATTTGGTCATTTTGAAAAAGAAAAACTAATGTCAACTCTGTATATTAGTTTCATATGTATACAGATTCTTTTAGCTTATTGATCACAGATACAATTTGGTATTTAATATTAAATCTGAAAATATATATTAAAATATAATATTGTTGACAAAATACTATCAATTAACTACTATGGGATAACCCAGGAACAGAAGATAAAGGTGAATATTTTTCTGATACCCTAGGTAGGAAGGGCTTTTTTCCCCCCTCTAAATATGAAAACAAAATAGATAAAAAAAATGACAGATAAGTCTAAAATACCAGAAATATCATTAAAGGCAAAAAATATGGAAATATTTGTTATATATGTGTGTGTAAAAGTATAACTGGCTTTAGTATATAATGAACGAGTATTTCACAGAAAAGAAACACAAATGGCCAATGAGAGAAAAAGGTCTTAACTTTATTAGCATTCAAAGAAATGGAAAGTGAAAAAATATCATACTTTTCATTTATCATATAGATATAAGTTGCAGGTAACATGGTGCTGATTTGCCAACATGAATAAAAAAATTTAAACATGATCCAACCTTTGACTCACTGGAAAGTATTTGTCTTAGGATAACAATTGAGGAACATAAAAAAAACTTCTGCAGTAAGATATCCACTGATAATCTGTAACAGCATAACTTTGGAAACAGTTTTAATCTTCCAACCATAGGTTGAAAACCGCTGTTATAGAAGAATATATAAACTAAAACACTGGAAAACAGTTATACAAATTACAATATATCTATCTATAAGACACTAAAAATTATATATATATATATTTTTAAGACATTTTATTTTATTTTATTTTATTTTATTTATTTATTTTTTTGTACAGATAGAGTGGGAGGGAGAGAGAGGAAGAGACAGAGAGAGAGAAACATCGACGTGAAGGGACACATCGAGTGGCTGCCACCCCCACGACCAACCAGGGCCGGGGACAAACTGCAACCGAGGTACATGCCCTTAGCGGGAACCGAACCCGGGTCTCTCCGGACCGCAGGCCGATGCTCTACCGCTGAGCCAAACTGGCCAGGGCTAAAAATATTTTTATTGAATTTTTTTTAGAGAGAGAGGAAAGGAGAGGCAGAGAGAGAGAAACATTGATGTTAAAGTGGAACATCAATTGGATGCCTATTGCACACTCCCTACCAGAGATTGAGTCTACAACCTGGGCATGTGCCCTGACCAGGAATTGAACGGGCAACCTTTTAGTGCATGGGACAATGCACAAACAACTAAACCACACCAGCGAGGGCTAAAAATCATATTTTTGAAGACTATTTAGTATTAGAGGAATATACAATTAGATAATTTGTAAAATGAAAAAAAGGCACACAAAAGAATGAAAAGAAATATATCAAAATTAAAAGAAATTGCTTGAGCATTTTTTCTGAGTAGTCTGAATCATCTATAAGGAACACTTAATGGTTATAATCTATGGTAAAAGCCTTTTTAAAAATGCTTTTGTTGAAACTGCACTCCCCTAAAAAACATGTTATAGAGCAGTGGTTCTCAACCTTCCTAATGCCATGACCCTTTAATACAGTTCCTCATGTTGTATGTGAGTGTATCTGCATGTGGGCTAACCCACCTGGAGACGGACAGAGGAGCTGTGCCTCTGTTCCTAAGACCATCGGAAATATGTGTTTTCCGATGGTCTTAAGCGACCCCTGTGAAAGAGTTGTTTGACCCCTAAAGGGGTCACGACCCAAAGGTTGAGAACCACTGTTAGAGAGGACTATATAAACTAAAACACTGGAACATAACTATCAACTTTAATGTTAATGTCAGATGAGTCACAAACAATTTTTAAAATCTGAGTTTCTCTAAACTACTGCTATCCATATTTAAAATACTGAATAGAATCCATATTAATTATAGTAGATCAAGAAGTTATATGAGCACAGCATGGCTTGGAAGTCACGGGGAAGTTGCGGCAGCACAGCTCCTGCACCTTGGGAGAGGGGAGACTCAGCCCCACACAGATTCCCAAAGGACAGCAACAGAGAAGGCAAGTACAACCCACATAGCATTGGACAGTGGGAATCAGAGGTGATTTGGCCCACCAGGGCGACTCAGCACTATCCCAGGCTAAAAGCCCTTGCGTGTGTGGTTACACCACCAGCCTGGAAAGCTCCTGATTGTGGGAGCTGGAGAGGCCACAGTGCACAACTACACACCTGGGGAGAGGTCTGAGCGGATTACACAGCAGTGAATCTAAGGGGCTGGGTATTTGCTGAAAGAATTTTGATGGGGGCTAGCCAAGCTCTCAGGGAAAGAGACACATTCCTCCCCACCTCAAGCGAAGAGGACGTATCCCCTTCCCCACCCACAGAACAGCTCTGGGGTTGGAAATTGGTACCCCAGTGCCAGGGCCTGGTGGTGCTGGGGATTCAGACATCTGGCCAGATGAGAGCCTTGGCAGAAGTCCTGCACCATGGAACAGCTCTGGGTTGAAAATCAGCACCCCAATGGCAGGGCCTGGTGGCAATGGGGATTCAGACATTTGGCCGGATGGGAGTCTGACCAGCAAGAGCGAGTCCATTGCTGAAAGATGAAAGAGCCAAGCAGGGCATTTTTTTCTCCTTTTTTTATTCTATTCTCCCCTGCTTGGGGTGGTAACTAGGGGATGACAGCAACCCAGGCAGAGCTGAGATAGTGGAAGCAGAGGAAGAGACTGCCTGTCCCTCCTAGAAACTACTGGCACCACCCCTAACACAAATCTGTTTAAACCACCCTGATTGGACCTGATACCCAGCAAATCCCAGGGCTGCAGGGGAGAGGGAAAGCAGCCCATAACAAATGCATACAACTGGCAAGCTCTGAAGGTGACCCAGACTCCTGGCTAGGGGAGTCCCGCCCATAGGACTACCTGGGATCCTGGCCCAAAGGGTTGCAGCCAGGAGATCCAGGGCCAGGCCTGAACAGTGATTCACATTGGCCTGCATGAGAGAACTGCCCAAGAGGACATGGACCCACACCCAAGGGCCAGATCCAACAACACTGGAGCAAAATCCAGTGAGCTCTATAAATAGCATATCCAAGAATTTTGTTGTTTTGTTATATTTTTAAAAATTTTATTTTTAACTCAATTTTTTTTTTCTTTTTCTATTTCTCACTTTCCTAGTCTATGTTTTATTCAATTTGGCATTATTACTTTCTAAAATTATTAATATTATTTCAGTCATTATTTTCTACCTATAATTTTTCTACTTACCCTATTTCTGGTCTCTGCCTACTTTACTTTCATACTATATGTTTTCTCCCTCTCCTAACTCTTTCAGTATTCTGTGTGTGTGTGTGTGTGTGTGTTTCTGTTTGTCTTTTAATCTTTTGTTGAGGCTGGTGTTTTTATCATTGTTGATGCTGATATATATATTTTTAGGTTCCTTTTGGTTTGGTCTGGTTTTGCTTTGCCTTCTTTACTTTCAAATGTTTTTTCTCTCCCTCTTCTAATTCATTCAGTCTTGCACCTCCTAGTATTGTGTGTGTGTGTGTGTGTGTGTATGTATATGTGTGTTTAAGTGAGTATCTTTTAATCTTTTTGTTGAGGTGGTTGCTTTTATTATTGTTGATGCTGAGGGGTTCATTTGGTCTGGTCTGGTTTTACTTTGTTTTGTCCTGTCAACACCTATATAACAGTTGGCATGACAGGGTCGACAGGGTAGGGGTTGAAGCTCAGTTAACAACCTCGAGGGCTGAGGCCACCCACAAATGGACAACAGCAATCAAGACCCAAATTCAACAGGAGAGCCCACAAAACCCACACAAGGGTCATTCCAAGAGCACTCAGCTCAGAAGATCAAGGAGACTACTCATTAGGTCCCACAAAAAGGACACCACACCAAGACTGGGAGGAATAGCAGTCCTATCTGATACACACCAACCAGCCTATGTGTATCAATACACCTCACCTGGCCCTGAACTACCAAATATTTAAAATGGTGGTACAAAGTAACAGTCCCTTAATGAAAGAAAAGGATGAATCACCAGAAAAGGAACTACATGAAGTGGAGGCAAGCAGTCTGTCAGATAAAGAATTCAAAGCAATGGGTTTAAGGGTGCTCAAACAACTTAGTGAGAATTACAGGCAACTTAATGAGAACTACGCCAGCATAAAAAAAGAGGTAGAAGATATGAATAAAAATCAAGTGGAAATGAAGAATGACATAGCTGAAAAAAGAACACCTTAAAAGGCGTTAATAGTAGATTAGAGGATAAGGTAGAAAAAACACCTAATTAGAGCAGCAAATGGAATAACATTTTTTTTTTAAAAACAGGAGAAGAGTTTAGAAGAGCTTTGGGACAACACATAACATAACAACATTCACATCACAGGGGTATCAGAAGGACAAGATCTAGAGAAAGGAATAGAGAACATGTATGAAGAAATAATGACAGGAAAAGTCACACAAGTCCAGGAAACACAGAGAGTCCCACTCAAGACGAATCCAAAAAGACCCACACCTAGATTTGTCATAATTAAAATGGCAACATTAAAGACAAAGAAAGAATCTTAAAGGCAGCAAGAGAGAAACAGAAAGTTACCTACAAGGGATCTCCCATGAAATTGTCAGTTGATTTCTCAACAGCCAGTGTGGCTCAGTGGTTGAGCATTGACCCATGCACCGAGAGATTGCCAGTTTGCTTCCTGGTCAGGGCACATGCCCAGGTTGTGTGCCAAATCCAAAGTGGGGGGAATGCAGGAGGTGGCCAATCAATGTTCTCTCTCATTGATGTTTCTATCTCTCTCTCCCTCTTCCTTTCTCTCTCTCTAGAATCAGTGAAAAAAAAAAATTAAAAAAAAGAGTCCTGGTCAGTTTGGTTCAGTGGTTGGAGTGTTGGTCTGTGGACTGGAGAGTCCCAGGTTCAGTTCCCGCTAAGGGCATGCACCTTG